GAGGTAAAGTTGTTGCTAGCTAGTTTGGTTTCAGTGAGGCAGATAATATCCAATTTGTTAGATAAACAGTAGTGTTCCTATATTTGTTGTTTGAAGTTTTGGTTGATGCCTCAAATATTATAAGTGCATATAGAAAGGTTTAGTGGAGAGTAAGAGGTATTAGATAGATCAGTATGGGGTTCAGGAGGTGTGGATGAGGAAAAATGTTGTGTATGAGATTTTAGAGAGATATGGGAATTTCAAAGATGGCACTTTGGTAGAATACAATTAGGTGGTCAGGAAGAGAACAGGGTTCTTGTGGGGTATAGATATGGGCTTCACTATAGTCAGCTTTGATAGAGATTATGAGTTCATTCTGTAAATTGTCCCAAAGGCTATGTTTGATGAGATAAAGAAGAAAGAAATTAATTGTTTAAGTGATGAAAGAAGTGGAAGTTGGTGATGTTTGAAGAATTTGTTAAAGCAGGTTAAAGGGTCACAGGAGTCTAAAGATATTAGAAGTGATGTCTTAGATTAGTCTTTTACAAACTAAACTATGGTTCTTATTTTCTAGTAGTGGTAATAACTCTGATCATAGCTATAGTCATAGCTGTGGTCATAGCCATGTTTATAGCTGTAGTCGTAGCTATGATTATAGCTATTTGTGTAGCCGTAGTTGTAGCTATAGTCATAGCCATAGTCATAGCTATAAGATTTTTCCTAAAAATATTAGATAATTAATACTGTACTTCTAAGATTATTTTAGTTTAAGAAAAGTATAAAAGGCATTTATATACTTAATTTTGTTTCCTATATATGCTAGTCCTGGTAGTAACCATGATATGTCTCCTGATAATAATGCTAGTAATAGATAATTAGTACTTTTTGTTCATTTTAATTTATCTGAGAAAAGTTTAATGGTATTTACTAATCTTTTTTTTTCTTCTTGATATTATTTCTTATTTTCTTAGCCATGGTCATAAATATAGTTTTTCTGATAATAATAATAGCAGGTAATTAATAAGTGCAACAGTGTTATATATTGAGTGTTACAGAGAAAACTAAGTGAATATTTAAATCACTAATATAATAGGTTTGCTGCAACAATAACTTAAATATTCACTTTTGGCTTTTCTTTTTGCAGTACTCATTTATTAGTATAAGGTGTATCAAATTGAATCCAAGAGGATAGCTAATAAATTACTATATTAAATTAAAATTTTAATAAATTTTCTTTATTTATAAATTAATATATAAATTAGTGCATGTTTAATTATTTGTTAGTTACTGTATATAGAAATTATTTATTTAAATTATTTGTTTTTTTATCTAATAGCAATCATATGAAAAAAAAAATATTGTCTTAAACTTAAGCAACATTACTATCTGCTATTTGCCATCTTATATAATTACACTTCTTCAATCTATAGATGCTGGTATTATTAATAATTTTAAAATACAGTATAGCAAAAAACTATTTATTTGTTATGTTGTCTTTTTATAATCTAATTTGATTTATAGTATAAATATAAACAATTATATACATAAGAGTTAATTAGAAGATTTGATCAAAATGAAAAAAATAAGTAAGTTTAATCAATTAAATTAAATAATTTTTATTTACAATATTACATTATAGTAATTATATTATTTATAGCAAATTAAATATTTTGGAAGCAATTAAATTTATTGGAGATGCGTAGAATAATATTATACAACAAACTATTTATATTTGTTAGAAAAAAACAGGAATTTACCTAATTCTAGTTCATTAATTATTGAAATAGCAACTGAAAAACAACAAAATTTAGAAAGCAATAATATAGAAGGTCTAGAACAAATTTTAGAATTAAAAACTGCTAATAATATTAGTAGTCTTGCTGCTTATATTAATGATAATGAAATCATACCAACAGAAGAAATATTAAATGATAAACAAATTATTAATCTTGCAATGCAGTTTAAAGAATTTGAAAATAGTTTAAGTGAAGAATCAAGAGTATAGAGATATAGCTATGATGGAGAGAAGTTGAAGGATGGGTGTAAAGTAATAGTATATATTAGATTATTTAGTTGGTGTGTCATAAGGTTGAGGTTAGTGTTGGAGATGATATTATAAATTGAGGTATTAATAGTTTGGGTTAAGAGTATATTGTCAGGACAGGAGTACCAGTGAGAGGGGTATCAGGCTGGTTGCATAGGAAACAGTTAGAAGATGTAAATATAAAAGGGTAAATAGAGTGAAAATATGTATGTGTTGAAAGAATATTAAGAAGCATTTTGATTTTAAAAGATTTTAGATAGTTTAATTTAGGGTTGGTAAAGTTGTGTGATACTTTTTAATTGTTGTTAAAGTATAGCCAAGAGGTTTTCCAGTCGATTAGATGAGAGAAGTGAGACAATTCATGGGCATGATGTTGTGAGGACCATAGAGCAATATTCTGGGCTTTTCGAATTAATTTAATAAATTGTCTAGTAGAGCTTTCGATAAAGCTGTTATTCTATTGCAGAATAGAGAATGAGTTATAAAGATTAATATAGTTAAAGTACAGAATTGGTGAGGTAGAGTGATTATTTGCTAGTAAGTCTGCGAGATTATTAAAAGGTTTGTCAGAATAGGCTTGAACTTTGTGGAAGAAGAGTTGGATATTGTAGGTTTGAGGATATTAAGAAGTGTGTGCCATATAGGCCAGGCATTGAATTTGAATTGTTTTGGTAAACAGGATGATAGGGTCTGAAGTTTATTGTATTTAGAAATAACAGATTGTGAGTCAGTGAAGATTTCTATAGTTGAGTTGCGAGAAAGTGTAGAAATAGCTAAGATTATTGCTAGTAGTTCTGCTTTGTATGAGGAGGGCCAGTTAAGAATTTGGGCAGAGAAGCTTTGA